CAGCAATTTTTCCGAGTAAGATTAAAAAGTACACATTTTTATTAAAATATAAAATGAAAATAAAATCCAGAAATAAGCAAATGACCCACTGTCACCACAACGTATTGTAATTGCCCTATAATGTTCTCGGCCTGGCTTAACTTTGTGTTTTGTGGGCTGCTCTGCATTGTCTCATGGCTTGTAATCAATGCTTAAATCAAAAAAGATGGACTGCATCTCATTTAATCAGGAACAAGATACATTGGCTGCATTGTGTAGGGAAAAGCTGAGAGAAACTTCTCAATCCTATTTTTCGTATCCCAAACTATATATTATATCCCGTGAGATAATTTCCTCACAAAAAATTATCTAACGATGGTGATATTTTCATATTGTGTATTAAGGGTGCTTGATAGGATGCTTGGGGTTGAAATTATGATCTGTGAACTGTTAAATTCCATAAAACATTTGTTGAACTTTTTGCCCGGTCAATAACTAACCTCATTGACCGATTCATGGATATGAACCCTTCCCCCCTCCAGCTCCATCACATCAGGATGTTGAGCCTGAATCTGGCCACAGCAGGACATTGGAGTTACCAGATTGTAGATTGCATTGTGGGACCCCATGTTTACTCTTGATTATTTTGTTGTGTTTTTACGGTATCTTGCTAACCAGCAGTCCAATGCTTCAGTCCATGGGCAAATCCAATATACATCTGCATAGTTTCAGCCCCAAGCATATATATGTAATATATTTATTATATATAATATATATTTGAATTCAATATTTATTTTAAACTACAGAATTATTCACCTGAATTTACATTCCCATTACTTCAAAAGTTGGGAGACATGACATATCTTTAAGAATCAGTAAATAATGCCTTTAATAGTATTTGATTTTCATGGAAACAATAAGGGTGGGGGGGGAGGCAAAGTTGTATTTCTAAACACATTACACTCCTTAACTAAGAGACTGAATAGTAATGTGTTTAGGAATGTTGTAATCTTAACCCCAGCGTCCCCAACGTGCACAGATATTTTGCATTAAAACTAGGTATTTTAACTTTCAGCTGAATCGATGCATTATCCTACACACTATAAATGGAAATGCTTGTAGAGTTACTGGAGTCTTTCAATCCTTTCTTATTTTCCTGCTTCAAAACCGTTTGGCACAAAAACACTACGATCAGTATTTTATGCAGAGCCCCTTTACAGTGTCAAAGTGTCTTTCTGTCTTGCTCTTTGCACTATAGAATGTCAGATGTTTAGAATTGTGTTCTAATTGTGCTCATGGGATCTGTCTGTGCTGATTTATTATAGGATTCTAAGCAATCTGATAAATGCACACCCTAAAAGGGTTGTATTGAGAAGTCACAGTAAAGAGTCGTGCTGGCCATATTAAAAGCACTGTCCCTTGTGTTTAGTGAAGGAAACATAATGGGGGTGTAAATCAAGGCAACCACCAAGTCTTGGCAGCTAGATAATACCTATTAGCTCCTTGGATTCGATACAGAAGAGGTGTGAGAGACACTGGAGGGTATGATCATTCACACCTTAAATCACTATCAAGCGCAACTGGTTCAGGTGCTAATACACCAGCTATATCATGAATTTCTAATGAGCAGAAGTACTTGAGAGAAAAAAGTAAATTAGGATGTAAAATATTTGATTGCATTTAGATTATTTCCCTTGCAGGGTAACTGGCTTCAGTTTAAAATGCTTTATTTTATTTTTTAGATTTTAAAAGTGTACATTTTTGAACCATATGCTTAATTTAGTACATGGTTATTTTAACTTAAGTATTTTATTGCAATAAATCAAAATAATTTGTATAAGCTTACTGGCTCCTGAAACCATAATCAAAATTTGTGCTTGTACTGGGGAGAGAATTGTGTGTGATAATAATAAATAATAATAATCCTTGCATTTGATGTAGCACCTTGTCACATCTTTTGGACGTCTCAAAGCACTTCACAGAATATACTGTAAAGTGAATTGACGGAATATTTTGTGGGAGAAATGCGGCAAGCAATTGCGCACAGCAGTGTCCCACAAACAGTTATTGATTGAGTGACAAAATTATTTTTTTAAAAGGGATTATTACCCCTGGAAAAGCGACCTGCGGATCGACTAACAACCAGGTTCCTACTTACTGCAAGGTAAACAGAGGTATTCAGGTATTATATACTCAGGTCTAATTTGCAGCAGTTTCAACCTTGTGTTAATTGCAACTTGTAGTTTGGGAAACTTGCAAGTTCACAAATTGGGATTTCCAAGTTGGCAAGATAGGTGGCATCTAAACTAGTTGGCCATTCCACTGACCTCTTTTGGGACATTGCTGTTCTCCAATTGGCTGCTATTTTAGCTACATATATCAAATCCTTTTATTGTTTTAAAAACCTCAATCAAAACCCCTCAACCTTTTAAACTGAAGGGAAGATGCGTCAAATTGAATCTCATTTCAAGATTGATATTTCAGACTAGAAAATGTGTTATGATATCATAGTCACTGTGTGTGTAAATGTCTCTCATATCATCAGCATTTTTATATCACTAAAGATATGACCAATCAGTGCTTATCCTTCTGGCTGGGTGAGAGGGGAGAGAAGCAGGTTTTCTTTGGGGCTATGTTAACTCCGAGGTGACGTAATTGAAAATGGAAGATTAGAATTGAGTGAATCGTCCGTTGAAGCCTTGGTAGTTACATGACTGAACTAAGCAACAGTCCAATGCCCTCTTGATGATTACAAAGATTATGATGAACCAACTATATTGGTTCACTAACAGGACGTAGCAGATTAGTCACTGGGACTTAAAATCTTTTTATTCGGCTACCACTCCAAGCCACAGCTCAGCATGTAGGGAGCTCTCGCTAGACAAGCAGTGGAAAGTATGCCAGTGTTCTACATTGGCAGGCTGCACAGTTTTAGTTGATTAAACTACAGCAGTAACTCTAAGCACATTCTGGACCATGGCTCTTTGCCAACCTGCTATTCAGTTCTGCTTGGTTAGATCAGCGCCTTGGACGTCCTCCCGACGTGAAAGGCGATATACAAATGTAATGTTGTTGTTGTTGTTAGCGGGTTGTGTTCGTTTGGAGAGTGTGTGTCTGTGTGTAGTCTATACCAGATGAAAGAAAAAGTATTCATAGTTTGGTTAGGAGACTTCAACATGGTAGTAATAAATGTGTCAGATACCCAGCTGACCAACAACCCCCCAACCTAAAGTTTCTAATGACATTTTGATACTAATTCTGTTTTATTTGTATGGGTACTTTGTTGCTTTGCTGGAGAGAATATTGTTGGGATGCTCTAAAGAGCAGGGATGGAATGTATTGGAAAAACACTTCTACAATGAGATTGTAGAATTCCTTCTGAGATTGGCTGCTGAGGTCATGATACAGTTGAAATTGATGAAATTATGATTCTTTGCTCCGACACAATTCAGACAATAGCAAAGGATACAGATGTTACAAATCTTTTCTTGCCACCTTGGTTATAATTAACAGTTCCTGAGTAATTGATCATGTAAATTATGCCCTTTGGCATTGATTTTAATGCAGGCTTAACATTTTGTTTTTCTTTCCATTAGTACTTCTGCCCTTTAGTTAAATAGCCAATTATTTCCATTGTGATTGCATGTCAGTTTATCACCAGCAGAACTTTTGATCTAATGCACTGAAACTCTTTATGGCAAACTTTGCAATTGGAGATTGACTACAGAGAGCAAGAAACTTTGCAAATGTTCAGATTCTTGCTCTCCATAGTCAATCTCCAGTTGACCTTTGAAGTACTGTAGTTGGATTTACCACCATACTCCAAATAATGCAAAGTTGCAATTCTACATCAATTTCAGGTTGTACCACACCAACCAGCATTGCTTTAGTTGCATGTTCATAGAGTTTATTTCAGATGGTTGTAAAATGTGCTAACATTTTACTAAAACAGATAAGATGTTTTTATGGTAGGCTCTTTTAATGAACAGTTATATTTAACAGTTAGATTTGTTTTTGAATTAATTATAATCACTACAGTCTGGAACTTTTTCATAGATGTGGATGACATTGAAGAGATCAGGAAAGCAAAATGTTTACAATGCTGTGTGTGTGTGTGTGTGTGTCGGGGTTGTGGGAGGAACTCTTGTTTTAAGTTTCTTCATTTTGTTCTTAAATATTCCAATTATTTAATCAAAGTCTTAACCAATCTGTTTGCTTATAGATTATTTATGCCTTATTTAATTTAACTTCACTTTTACACTATTAATAAATCGTGTGAAAGAGGTTATGTCAAGCAGTATAAAGTAATATAACATTTGTTAAACAGAAATTCCATTTGGTTAGCCCAATATATTCGTACGTTTAGGGATAAACATAATCCTTGACTTTATCACTCATGGTGGGGTCCTGTAGCTTAGTGTTTAGAGCACTAGCCTCGCAAGTGAGAAGACCTGGGTTTGATTCCCGAGCAGGGCGTAACGTCAGACAAGTTTCCTTACTCCACACGCCTGTTTACCTAGCAGTAAGTAGTAACCCAGTTGTTAGTCATTAGCGGATTGATTTTCCCTCAAAAAAAAACTTTTTTTCACTCAATCCACAAGTTTTTGTGGGACACTGTACACAATTGGCTGCTGCGTTTCGCCCACACATATACAGTCAATTCACTTTACAGTATATTCTGTGAAGTGCTTTGAGACCTCTCAAAGACAAGATAAAGCACTATATCAAATGCAAGTATTATTATGGTAAAGACAGTAAATTAACAATAGCAATGTTGCCCAGAATTGTCAATCTGACTACAAATCTTTGAAGATGTTATTACTCCATTTCTTGTTGGTTTCCTTATTCCTTTTGTTCCTTATTAACTATCAAACATTTAAGTAAAACCAAGTTATTTTACTACTGTTTATTTTGTTCACAAATGGTACATGGATCCCTATACAGCTGTAAAATAGTGTAGAAGGTGCAGTTATTGCAAAGCTAAACATGTTTTACATTGAAGAACTGTTATTCTTTCCTAGGTGTGACATGTCAGACGGATGACCAGCATGTAGATATTATTGAATGCCTGAAGATGGCTGGTTACATGCCCAACCAGGTGCAGGAATGTCGAGTACCCTGTCACAATGACTGTTTGTTAACCAACTGGTCCAGGTTCACTTTATGTGCAGCAGGCTGTGGATCAACCCGCAGTAGGAGAAGATCTCTCATAGGTAAGATAAAGCGCTATATCAAATGCAACGATTATAAGGTAATTATTAGTTATTAAAATAATGCAACAGGGTTTGCAAATTTCATTAAGAATAATGATAACTTTGTCGAACATTCTCCCATGCCAGGCCGTATAATTTAATTTTTTCTACTAATTAATTGGATCTGTTATATTAGTACATAGACAAACTGATTAAACCAGAGGTTTGTAAGAACATTACAGAGCTTCACAAGATGGCAATCTATTTTCTGCCTGGAGCTGCATGATTCAGTGTTTCAAATTGCAAAGTTTTATGATAAATCTTGCGCCACATCGGGTCATGTCTTCAGGTCTTATGGCTTCCTTAGGGTTGACTACTGCAGATATTTTGAGAAAGAAACAATGTTGTAATATTGTAAATAAATAGCTTGTGCTGTCAATGTCAATAGATTTTCAAGCAGCTCCAAAGAATGTCTAAGAAGAATACCACACTTTTTTTAATTAGGAAAAAGCAAGAAGCGAGACAAGTGTTTGAAGTATCCACTCGCAGAGACTGAGCCTTGTCCATGTGATAAATTTAGCATTCAGCCACAAAGGAATTTGTCAGATTGCATTCTTCCAGAAAGCAAGGTGGAACTACAACTTGGGATGAAAGTTCAAGGAGACATCAAGCAATGTGGACAGGGTACGCGTTATCAAGCCGTAGCCTGTTATGATCAGAACAAAAATCTGTTGGATCCCTCCCTATGTGGAAGTTCTGGTAAGTAAATTGCATTTAATTTAAGTGAGGGTTTTGATTTTTAAAAATCAGAATTATTTCATTTGGCAAATGATGTAGTTTAATTTTTGAGGAAGGGAACTGATTTACTGTCTTTGTCTTGTGGAGACCTATAGCTCAGCTCGGTGGTTAGGGCACTCGACTCGCAAGCGAGAGGACCTGGGTTTGATTCCTAGGTGGGGCGTAATGTTGGCCAAGTTTCCTTACTCCATACGCCTCTGTTTACCTGGCAGTAATTAGGAACCCGCTTGTTAGTCGATTGGCGTATCACTTTTCTGGGGGTAATAATCCCTTCAAAATAAATAAGTCAATTAAAAAATAATAATTTGGACATTCAATCCACGACTGTGAGACTTCTTGGAGGCATGAAAGGCACAATATAAAATGCACCAATGATTATTATTATTATTATTGTTTGGAAATGAGACGCTTTTTCCACTTTTACATCGACTGAGCAAACTTGGATTAGGAACAAATGCAGATTAAACTTTTTTGATTCTAACAATGTGCTCTAAACACAACTTCGAAAGACTCCCTCCCTCCCTCCCTCCCTCCCTCCCTCCTCTACAACCGACTTTGTCAGTTATTCATGCTAACTAAGCACCAAAACTTGAAGCTTCAAGAGGAAAATAATGTATTTGATTGGATATAGTCTCATAAGAGGTTGGGATCTCCTAACCGCCTATCAACCTGCCCGCTCCCTCCACTCACCAGGCTGCGGCTTGCTTCTCGTCCCCCACCTCACCCGTCCCACCGATGGCAGGTGGGCCTTCTGCTACTCTGCTCTCACCCTCTGGAACTCCATCCCGCAGTCCCTCTGCCTTGCCCCCTCATTCAAGACCTATCTCAAGACCCTCCTTATGTCACCCTCCTTACCCCACTCTTCTCCACCCTGCCTGATCCCGACCCTGAGCTCGGGTCCGAAACACTGATTGTCCAGCGCCTTGGGACATCCTCGTGACATGAAAGGCACTATACAAATCCCAATGAACTATGAACTAGAACTACACTGTAAATTCAAGTGTGTTTTTGTGGGTGACTTGGCAGCCAATTTTCATAGCAATGTCCCATAAACAGTCACAAAGTGAATGAACAATATTTATTTGGGGGATTGTTGGCCAAGACCCCAGGAAAAACTCCTTTTCAGAGAGTGCAATGGGATCATTAAAGTTCACCTGAGCAGGCAGATGGGTCTCAGTTTAACTTCTTATCTGAAGGATGGTATCTCCAAAAGTCCCAACGTGGGGCTTGAACCCACAACCTTCTGACTTGGAGGCGAGAGTGCTACCTATTGAGCCAGCTATTGGTATAAATCAAATTCCAAGTTGATCTTTTAAAATAAATTCAGAATATTTTAGCATTATGCACATTGTACTCTTTCAATACAATAGTTATTTTAACATTTGTTTGAGTTTAGATTACTTGTATGACAGTAACAGAGTGACCCATTTTATATAACCACATATGAATCACTAACAAGCTTAGTTTGTTTTATTTGTGATGACATCTTTTAATAATGGTAACAGCAGGAGTTCAGATGAAATAATTGTTGCTTGCTATGAATTAAGATTAAATTCACTTCAAAATGAATAAGAAAAACTCTTGTGGAAGCTAATAACAGAAGTTTAAATCACTAGATTCACTATATTTTTTAATTTTTCAAATCAGGATATGTTGAACAGACTTGCATTCTACCTTGTCCGTCGGATTGTAAGCTAAGTGACTGGTCAAACTGGTCAATGTGCAGCAAAACATGTGGAAGTGGGATCCGGGTCAGGTCCAAATGGCTACGGGAGAAACCGTATAATGGAGGTCGACTATGCCCCAAGCTAGATATAAAAAATCAGGTGAGGTGTACCAAGTAACCAATGCAATGAAGAACCATTTGGTGATCTGTCCATTTTTCCTTTTAATTTGTTTTAAGCATAAATCAACAAATTTACATCCGTTAACTAATAACAGAGACTAAATCAGCCTGTATTGCTCATTGTAATGGCATTGTGATTTGCCAGTATGTTTTGATTCTGCTAAATGCACATTTGAACATTGGAATCATTGTAAGCTTGATTCGTTCAATGCTTGATTTATTGAGGTGCTTTTCTCAATTTATTTCCGTTTAATACTGGAACTCTCCCTTTTGCTTTCACTGGGGTTGGGGAAAAAAGTGATCGTTGGGAAAACAGCAGCGTAAATGACACCTTGCACCGGAAAAGACATCTTGGTATGTAAAGTAGGTAACCCTATGTATATCATGCCACCTGTGCAGCCATAGCTCTGACCATAGATCTTGTCTGAACTAAGATGGGGAATAGAGGGGCACAGGAGAGAGAATAAGAGGGGCGAGGCACATTGTGGTGTATAAACATCAACACAGACTAGTTGTGCTGATTGGCCTGTTCATGTCCTCTTTCATTCTATGCAATTCTAGTTAATTCTAAGATCTTGTGCGTTGCATGATGCACATGGGATTCCCTGAAGGACATGCATTTAGTGTCCTGAAGGGGTTTTTTTGCTCTCATTTTCCTGATGAGTGCTCTTTCAACCCCAAATCATCATATGTTTCGGCTCATTTTAGAACATTCAGCCAAGTGGTGTGGAGAACTTCAGTAGAACGTATATATTGCTGGGAAGACAAAAGCTTCAATCACCTTTCCGATTCATCTCACTGAACCTAGTATATCTCATTACACGTACGATTTGTGAATTGGATTTAAGTAATTCAATTTAAGTTCCCCGTTGGCTCAGTGGCTGAATGCACCACCTTGTGTGATACAGGTTCTTACTGGTCAGGAAGATCCCTGGCGACAAGTGATCAGGGCACTTGAAGTAGCCTCTGCTCGGGAGGGCAAAAAATCAGTCAGCCAAGGTGCTTGTTTTGATTATATATGATTGAATAATTTGCTGGCTGGCATTCACTGTCTAGGGTCACACATAAAACATATGGGCATTTGAGTGTTTCCAAGGTTCTCTGGTATCTGTAGAACTGTACCCCCACATGAGTCATTGCAATCCAGTGAAGTAGAAGGAAAACTGATGAAATGGTAGCAGGGAACAATTTTAATTGGCACTTGATATTCATAGACTGAGTATCTTGATTGCATACACACATAGAGCACCTCCAGAAGTGTTTTCAAAATAACAAGTTGCAAATTCATTTTAGTGGTTGAAGAGGTACCAACACATGGAAATTCAGCATTGTGAAAGCAACTACTAAGAGTTTAAACCAAAGGATTATATGCATGTGTGAACAGTTTCTTAGACAATAGGCAATTCAGCAATCTGAATTTTTTTTGTTGAGTTCCAGGAACTAAAAGCTGTGTATTTGTATCAATAAATGATTGTTGATCAATATCAAAGTTCAATACAATTTGTACATGTAGTGAATGATTCCATGGTATGTGTTTGTGCAAATATGGTTTTTAGAATGACACTTTATATATAGTGCTTTAAATCACTTCCCCTGACACAAACATTAATTCTCTCCCCACTCTTGCCAGTCGGACCACATCCATTAAACCTCTTCTCTTCACAATGAGGATGATGATGCTATGCTGATAAAATGCTATGTGTGAGGTGTAAGATATGATGCTATGAGTGAGATCAAGCCAGGAACCCCAAACCTGCCTTGGAATTGCCTCGCAGGGAATTCCTTGTATCTACCATCCACCTAGTGAGGGTTCAAACTTGTGCTTGTCAGATGTCGAACGACCAACTAGTGACTATCCTTCTTGGGTGGGAGATAAGTGGGGTCTCCTTGGAGCTGAATTGGCTCTGAGGTGACATGTTTGATAACGGAATGTCAGCCCTCTGTGGCGGTCCTGGTAGTCCGGTTCCTGAGCCAGAGGGGTCCACAGTATTCCAGGGCACTGCTGATTACAGTACAGCCAGCCTGGCTCATCAGCAGAACCTGGGCGTGCAGACCATCACTGGGGGCAGGGAGTCATCCCACTCAGCTCCTGTTAACCCTGCAAGCCAAAACCCTAATGGGTAGGGTAGTCCTAGCTGGACAAGCAGCGGAAAAGCTTGCCAGACAGTAATATCAATGGCAAGCTATGCGGTTTTAGCTGGTTGGACTCCAGCAGTTACCCCAACGCACAATCTGGGGTCCTGAAGCTTTGCTCTTGCTAACCTGTGCTTGATACTTTTTGGAATTAGAATAGCAGGATGCCTCCCTCCAGGAAGAGGATGTGCATTGCATTCCAACAATCTATCTGTGGGATTTCCGTGTGTAGGTGGGATGCGTGGAAATCTCAGCTTGGTTTGGATACTCTTATGCATGGTGATGAGTTTCCGCATGTGTCAGACACCCGGCTGACCAAGAAAAAATGTGTGATATTAGCTTTGTAACTCTTGAAATTTCAGTGCTGAAAGAGTAGAGTTTCTCAACACGCTATCTTGTATATGGACTTTTTTTATTGCTTTTTCATGCTCTGTTGAAACTATGCCAAAATGCAGCACCATAATTCTTAAACATTGGGATTGATCTACGTTTTTGTTGAAAAGGTAGCTAATGCTTCACGTTTTATTTTGCAGCCCTTTTGTTACATCTAACGTTATGTTCATTTAATAATATATTACACCTTATCACGTTGCTGAGACTCAAAGTGCTTCACGTAATATACTTTAAAGTGTGGGCAAAATACGGCAGCCAATTTAAAGAAAACAAAAGCAGTCTTCCAGAGTAAGAAATCAAGATCATGATACGAAGACAGAATACTCAAAATTCGAGAGATGAAATGGTTTGATTGTTTTTGTTCTATGAAGCGTAACGCAATTGTTATCTTCCTTTGGATCATTGTGTTCTTGATTAAACCACTATTATTTTGCCATTGTATAATAGCCTGGGGGAAGAGAAATCCCCTACCTTTACCTTTGATATTTCTGAAGCCTGCTAGCTTGGTTGCTTAGGAGACCTTTGAGTATGCACATGTGGTGCTGCAGTCTGGGCTATTGGAGGATAGTGGTTCTACTGCTGCTTCTATCCCTTTGTGATACCAGCAGTTTACAGGAGTAAAACAGCTTTTTTTTACACTTACCTTCAGAATGTACAACTCGTTTCAAATAAAATGGTTTAACGACCGTGAACTCTGAAAGTGTACGGTACATTACAAAGCATCAACTTTTTAAACCGTGTCAAATTGATGGGTGATAGCCTATCAACAGATTATTCATGTATGAAGCATGCTGTAGTTTATTTGTCTTGAGCAGTCAATCGAATGTTAAGTGAAAGAAGCACGGAATTGGTTTTGCTTTTGTACGTTAATCCATTTTTTTTCGCGTTCATGTAAAGGAGACACATTGTTATACTCTTGTTAGTTACAGTTGTAAAACTGTTAATGCTTATAACATAGCACTACACTTCTGTGGGTTAAAGTGCCAGTGTAACCTTTACGTCCCTGACTCTATTCCCTGAAGCTCTTCCATCCTTTCTACTGTTCTGAATAGCTGTGACTTCAATGTCCCAGTTAAGGCATATCAAAACTAAAATAGTTTACTTTGAGTCAAAATGGAAGTGAGGTGACGGGACTGATACCTCTCATTCCCCTTAAATGGCAATAAAAAGCAAATCTTTTCTCAGTATTTATATTAGAATTTCAGAGGCAAAAGGTAGAATCTAAGAATTCTGCCTTTGTGATACTGAATCAAAACTGATTTTTCTGGGAGTGTTTTTCAGAATTGCAGCTTCCTTTTTGTAACTATCTGTAATTATTGTTCATTTCAGGTCAATAGCATAAACTCAGAAGAATCAACCAGTCAACCTTTACACTTGAGTTTATTCCAAAGCAGTCCATTAATAATAATAATAATAATAATAATCCTTGCATTTGATATAGCGCTTTTCACGTCGGGAGGACGTCCCAAAGCGCTTCACAGAACACACTGTAAAGTGAATTGACTGTATATTTGTGGGCGAACGCGGCAGCCAATTGCGCACAGCAATGTCCCACAAACAGTCGTAGATTGAAAATGACCAATTTATTATTATTTTGTTTTTTTGGAGGGATTATTATTAGGCTCTGTGTGGAGTAAGGAAACTTGCCCAAGGTTTCGCCCTGACTGGAATTGAACTCAGGTCTCTCACTTGCAAAGCGAGTGCTCTAACCACTGAGCTACAGGACTCCACAACATATATTAAGAAATATATTGCTGCCTTAATATTTAAATGATTATTTTTCAAAAGCGTAATTATCTAATTACAGGAATTCAAATGGAGTTTATAAATATATTTTTCACAGATTTCAAAAGACCAGTGTAAAAGTTTCAATAAAAGTACAATTACGGTAAATATAATGTAACAAATAATTATTCCATTAATGGATTAAAATAATTGTAAAATATATGGAGCAGATAATTAAAGTATTTTAATTTAAATGCCATAACTAAAATTGGTTGTTTCACATCTGTTCCATTATAAACATTGATTGTGATATGAATTGAGATACCACTAGTAGCCCACAAAGATTTTTTTTAAATGGCTTTGTAATATTTGAACCAGTTTTAAATATTTTTCAACTTAATTATTTGTTTTTAATGTTTGCTTCTTTGTAAGCAACCACCGCTGTCAATCTCTTACTCCCAACAGCAGATGTTTGCAGATAAATGTCACAGCTGTTCGAAATTGCTCTGAAAAATATGACAGGTACAAGATTTATTTTCTGCATTTAGAGTTCTTGCTGCCAAATTTTATGTGAAGTTTTCAGGGAATGGAGGTTGCAGATTAGCATTTATTCCTTGGGTTAAACAGATGATAGTGTCATGGTGTGCATTGCTTTATGATTGGCTAGCGGGAATTGGTCTGTTTCTCTAATGATTTTATAATAGATGTACTGATACTAATACATTAGTC